GGGAAAAGGTGTCTTTATATAATCAACACAAACAACATATTAAAGGCTGGTAGTAAATATTTTAATAGTATTTTTTATTAATACTCAAATTATTGTAAAACTTTTTTTTCCTCAAATTGTMGCATGTTTTTATATTTTGCATGAAATGATTGTGAAACACTGCAATAAATGTAAAGTGTGCAACAATAATACAACTTCACATCTGACATGTGACTAGTTTTAGAAAAGGCTGGAGACATGAAACACCTCGCTTCCTGTCCACACYTCCTAAATCAGTGCAAAACAAACCTAAACAGACAAATCCAAACAARCTCAGCCCTTTGAGTGGATGGATCATGGACAGATTGTAGTTTTTCGCAGCAGCTTTATGTGAGGCTTTTCAAACATCTTTTTCTCCTCAGTTCACAGAGGCTTCAGCAGCCTGTTCAGACCAAACACCTTCAGTSTTTTCATAGGTTTTATATCTGAGCCGTTCTGCAAAGTTCCCCTTCAGGAACAGGAAGTCAGCTGCAGTTTGTCCACGTGGCTGGTGGAGTTCAGTGCTCTGGCTTCGTTTTCAGTGCAAATCTGTTGGAAAAGTCTCTTAAATCCATCGAGTCGGAACAAAGTGCTTCAGTTCACAGAGGACTTTTTTTTGTTTTTTGAAAATTCTTAGTAAMAAAACTAGAATTTCAGTAAGAAAAAAAAAGAAATATACACAAATATACATTAACTGTACATTTTACGGGAGACGTTTAAAAAGTCCGACGCATGGCTGCATTTCCAGAAGCGATAGTGATGTCATCACTTTGCATCGTGTAAACATCAAACAGTGGCCGTGTTGCTGCTGGAAAAAAAACGGCAGAATTTTTCTGATTCAGTAACAAAAACACAMACGACTCTTTCTTTCTGTAAGATCTCAAGCAGCAGAACAGCCTGTTCAGTGTTCACACACAGGTTGGATTAAAAACTGTATCAGTGCATAAAAACACACATTGTATTGCAGTGTTGAAGGATAAATGTGTTTAAGTCCCTGATTCTAAATGAGATTTCATATAAAGCCAGACTCAGACGCTCCAGGCTGTGGTKTAAGCCTGAACTTTGAGCAGACACTTCAGGTGAACGGTCATTTCTCGGCTCTGGTTGCTCTGCTGAGGCTCGTCTTCTCCCACCCAGTGGCTGGGGGGTTTGGGGAGGACGCTGGGGGAGGGGGGCTCGCTGAACTTGGCCCCAGCGTACGTCTTTTCGCCGTCTTTGAAGTGTTCGGCTTCGTCGGGGGGGCTGTCTACGATCGTCACGTTGCTCGAGGTCAGGGGGGGGTTCTTCTGCTCCTGAGGCAGAGGAAGGTGGGAGGACGAAGACTTCTTAGGAGTGCGGTTGTCGCTCCTCTTCGCCGCGGGGGAACCTGTGTGCGTCTGGCTCGGTTTGGGTTTGTGGCTCCTGGTGCTCGCGTTGTGGGCGATCTGATCGGGTCTCAGAGGGTGGCGGGCCGGTTGGCTGCCCGGTTGGACGGCCCCTCGCTCCGATCTGACACCTTTAGATTTTAGCACCTAAAAATAAAACACTTCCATTAAAAACCCACTTCTGTAACTCCACACACATTTTTAAAACTGTTAAAAACTACAACGTATCTGCTTATTATTTGTATCTGCGTATCTGAGCTGCAAACACAAATATCAAAACATGGATTAAAGCTTCTGCATGTGTTAGCAAAATATCTCACAAACCACTGGAGCTACTTTAATAAAAGTTTCAGGAAGTACTCACAGGATATACATTAGGGGTCGACCGATGCATCGGCTGGCCGATATTTGYGTTTTTTCCTTGTATCGGCCGATCCGTTCTTTGGGTCACGCGGGCRCATRTGTCCACCCCCTCCCTYGGGGAGAGAGCGGCTGCTAATGTTGTGAGACCGAGTGCTAACAACAACAAGGGTGAGTTATGAACTGTAAATGTGTTTTTAACCGTCTAATTTAGCTGTTTCTGTCCTCTGTGTCAGAATATGAGAGGAGAGAGAAAAGCTGTGTTTAAGTTTCTTTTCTGGACAGGAGTGCCGCCATGTTTTACTTCCACTTTGAAGCCGCACTGTAATTAGCATGTCCACGTAGTTTATCTTTTTAAAAAATGCCAGAACTGCTCACAGGAGGCATAGAAGAACACCTGTACTGTTCTCCCTGCTGGATTAAAATAAAAAATAAAAAACTCTTCTCGGTCATTCTCGTTTAGGGCTGCCACCATTAATCGATTAGTCTTCCCAGCAATTATTTTTAGTTAGCATATAGCTAAAATCTAACAAATGGTTGTATAAAAGCAGCTACATTCTGGCACAATAAGCTGTATGTTTTATATTCAATTAACATATGATCCGATTAGTCAACTAATCGAAAAAAATAATCATTGATTAATCAATTATAAAAATAATCATTTGTGGCAGCCCTATTCTCGTTGTTACGTTTTAGCGAGCGCAGCCGTCCACCATGTGAACCAGATGCTGCTCAGATCASGTTTGTTCTGTCCGCAGTATAAAAGTCGTGATGCTGGTTCTATTCGATGTACATTTCAAACTGTGATCTAAAGCTAACAGCTGGTTTAAATGTATTTTTGCCCGGTGTAAAAAACGAGCACAGACCAAGGCAGAGACACAGTGAGCGCTGTGTGTTTAAGTCCTCACAAAGATAGCAAGATGTGTGTGTGTGTGTGTGTGTGTGTGTGTGTGT